TTGGAAAAACAGAAGTTGTAAGAGTTTTTAAATATTTATTGTCGCAAAATGTTTTATGTTTTTGTTTAATTTTAGAGATAATTGTACAGAAAAATGTTTTTATTGTTGTTAATTATATAAAGTGTCGTTTAAAGGCCTGCTGAGGAGGGACGAACAAGTCCGAAACACGTTTGATGTATATGTGTTCAGGTGAACTAAATAAAGAACATTATTTTCGAACTGTAAGACTAAATATCTGCATCTATAATTTTTCAAGTATAATAAGTCCTGTTAATACATAGAAAGTACTAGTATACAACATAAATTATAAATAGATAAAAAAAGGACAAATAGGCATAATAATTGAAAAGTCTTTTCGTTTATATGGATTTTTCGTATTGTTGCGTGGTAGATTTATACACTAAACACTAAGAAACGTCTATATAATAGATTCGTACAAACCCTGCAAATTCATTCAGCATTTCCAATGTCAGAGGTAATGTCAGAATAAACTTCATTTCATTCGGACACACAATTAAGAAGTTTTTCAGCAATCCTCCATTTTGTATCAAGGATGTTCGTAGTACGACGACACATTCTCCATTCTCATTGAAAATGGTCACTTCGTGGAAGTTAAATCGTTGTTCTTTCACGTTTGACATCTTATTTCGCTTCTTGCAATAATACGTGTATTAAGGAAAACTCGTACAAATAATAAAGAATAATCTCCAAATCTCTAAAATTTTAGTCAACGATTAATATTAATTAATTTTTGTGTTTGTATTTTATTTAATGTATATTATTATTTTTTTTTTCTTTTTTTTATGTTAATGAAGACGGCAGCAAACTGTTAGAAGTGTTATGATGTGTGCATTTCTGTACGACAAATCTACATCTCTGTCGTATTATTACTGTTGGACAGAAATGCCAAACTGGGAAATTATATAATACTTGTTTTTGTATTTAATTTAATGTATTTTATTTTTTATTACTATTTTTCTTCCTTTTTTTAAGTTAATGAAGACGGCAGCAAGGTGCTGAAAGTGTTATGATGTGTGCATTTATGTACGACAAATCTACATCTCTGTCGTATTATTACTGTTGGACAGAAATGCCAAACTGGGAAATTATATAATACTTTTGAGTATTGTATAATTTGATATAAAATTGTAAAGGATTTTGAAGCAGTATAAAATTAAATACAAATTATTGTCGGTAATTGGATGGATGTATATCTTAAATTTTATAACCATAATCTTGCTGACGAGGGGCATGATAGCCCGAAACACAGATGTCAACTATTGTACGTGTACAGGTAGCTTAATAAAGAAGGTCTATTTTCTTTAAGAACTTTTTCCTCAATTTTTGAGTATAAAGCTTAACACTAGTATAATTGTCCACGTTGACAAATATATAATAAGTTGATTATACTACTCAACATTTTAAACACGATTTGAACGACTATAAATATGACAGAAGCATTGCATTTGCTGTAAATAATCGTGATCTATTTTGCTGTTTTTTCCCTATTTGTAGTCGTTTCGGCCATTTCAAGTGGTAATACAATATTTTAATTAAAATATTAATAATATTCAAGACTTTTTAATATACAGTTTTGAAGAGA